ATCGTCGCATTCGCGATGACAAGCATTACATGTATTTAGACATCGGATTGTGAGTGCATTTCATTCATTGCCACACATTTGATGGCCATTTCTGGTGATCACCTGTTGTTGTCTTTGACAGAGAGTTCGAGTCCGCGAACAACAGGCCGTCCGTCGGTCGCCGACAATACAAAGCGATGATAATGTCTGCCATTCGGTCGCTGTTCGGGGACTTCGGGACAGCCGTTGGCCTCCATTTGATTCATTACAGAGACAGTGACTACAGGGCTATCATTAGGACTAATGCCAAGTAATTCAACACAAGTTTATAATTGATTTCACATTTAATTTGTTTAATTAATGTTTGGATTTATTTAGAAATTTAGTTGTCGTCCGAAACGCGTTAATAATGCCATCGGTTTGGGAACAAAGAGTCCATTGTTTTCGCATTTATAAGGTTTAGCCATTAATTGCTGTCTTATATTCAATATGTATTGAATTGTATTTTAATTATTACTCAAACAAACAGATAACGCATTCGCTGTCATCGCTGGCCATCGATGCCATAAAACCATTAATTATGACACAAGTTATTGAATAAAATTTTCACACTTTAATTGTTTTCAATATTATATTTGGTTTCAATTCAATACATAATTTAAATTATTAAAACATTTTCTTTCAATTCATTTATTCACCGATTTTTGGACACAAAATACAAACAATATTCTAATTAATGACACATTCATTACATAATCCTTTAATATTTGCCCAAAAATGTGTATAAAAACAAAAACAGATCAATGAGTGGACGACTGACTGGAACATCGATGGGATGAAGCGTCCGAATGAGAACCGCTGTCAATGTGTTCATCGGTTAACGACAGACCAGTGGTATCGGCCGATGAGGAACTCGTCGGTCAATTTGCCGAAAGGCTGTCACCGGTGTTGTGATCGGACTGTGGGCTCGCAGTGGGGGCCCTATCGTTGTCCGGATCACCACAACTACTGCTTTCATCGACGTTTGCATCGACTCGCGTCTCGCCGACGAGTGGCAGACCAGCGGTGGCCCCGATATAGCGCTGAAGAGCGTCCCGTAACGGACGGTACGAATCGGTGTCGCCATCGGTTGGGATTGGGGGCAGAAGTCGGGCTATTGTGCCGGTGATAGCGTTGACGCGATTCACTGCCGCCAAACCGTCCACCGATTGTTCCTCACTTTGTGTCGGCGCTGACAATAACAACACCTCTTCTATCGCACCGATCAGATGGTCAGTCCTGTGGGCAACAAATGGCGTCATTATTAGACCAATAGTTTTAATGTTTTGTTTAATATTAAGTTTATATAAACCAAAGGCACTGATAGTACTGACAAACACTTCATACAAATGGCATATTATTTGTATGATATATGATATGCTAACTAATGGGAGGGAAAGGGTTTGTGTCCAATACTTACTCTATTTGATCCACGTATTGGTCCAGAGATCGTATGTCCCTAACGAGTGACTCGAAGAGTATCTCCACATCTCTTGACACGGAATCAGTTACACGATTGGCTTTCGACATGTCTTGAGACAAATTATGCGACTTTCTTAACACACTCTTCAACAATGAATTATTAGACACGTGTTTGCGTCGACCCATTGTGTCGCTCAACCAATAGGAGACCAGTTCTCAACACGTGTTTCACTCGATTAAAGGTCTATTGGTTTGGATTAAGTGTTGATTTGAATGACAAAATGTAATCAATTATTGAGTCATTTGTTGTCGTTTGCCATTCAATCACTGCTCACACCTCTAGTCATACCATTCATAGCATTCATTCATTGGTTATCAAAAAGTATTGTTTTTTGAGAATAGTTTTGAATGCATTTCACTCACGAGTTGTGGACACGAATACCACTCAAAGACATTGACATAATATTTTTCACCGATTCTGTGATCAGCACTCGGTTTATGTCAAATCGATGGACGATTACTGGCGAGGAATGGAGTGATGACGACATGAGCGGTGAAGACAGTGGTTTGTGGACCAGTTATGGGTGAACACCACTTCTATCGAGCAATCAATAGCAGTGATAGTGTTTGGCAGACATCGAGTGATCAATATTTAGTAATTTGAGCCAACGTTTTGATGGACTCATACAACCGATACACCAAACCATTACTATTCAATTGTTTAGACCACAGGTTTGACAATCTATTGTCTGGTTTGACATTTTATTTCAATCAATGGTTAACGTAATTGTCTTATGTTTTCGTTTCAATTTAAATACAAAATTAAATGATTTGTTTGTGTTTTCAATGAAAATCCATAACTAATGCAAGAAAAATGAAATAAATATTATGTTTTGTTAAGAATAGCCTTCAGGTCTTCGGGCAGAGTATCGATCAATTGGTTGAGATTTGCGCGCAATTTGTCGACCGTTTCGCCATTGAGTGGAAGGCCATCGCTCTCGACGGCAGACAGTTTGTCCTTCAGGCGCAGAATCAGGTCCACCACTTCGACCTCAGCCTTGTCGCGGATCCAATCGGTCAGATTGGCCGCCGATATGGCCTCCATGTGAAGTACGCGCAACTTCTGGTTGGCCTCCCGGAGCCGCGTGT